TAGGTCACATAATCAACAAAAAGGGCAGATTTCCAGATCCGGAAAGGTCCATTGCGATTAGAGACATGCCGACGCCCACTAATGTGACGATGCTACAGAGATTTCTGGGGCTTGCAAATTATTATCAAGCGTTCATTAAAGGAATGTACAATCTAAGAGCTCCGTTGAATGAACTGCTAAAAAAAGACAAGGCATGGGAATGGACGGTAGAATGTCAGAAAGCCTTTGATGAAATAAAGAGAATGCTTACGTCCGACCTCTTTTTAACCCATTACAATCCAAAACTGGATATTGTAGTGGCAAGTGACGCCAGTTCATACGGGATAGGAGCGTGTATTCAACACATAATGCCAGATGGTTCTAGAAAACCAATTGCACATGCTTCGAGAACTTTTACTCCCAGGAGAAAGAAGTTACTCACAAATCGAAAAAAGAGGCGTTGAGTATCATTTTGCCATAACATCCACGGCAGACATTTTATGCTTGAAACGGATCATAAACCACTGATCACTATTTTGGTTCAAAGAAAGGGTTACCCGTTTATACGGCAAATCGTCTGTTGAGATGAGGAACCATTCTTCTCAATTATGATTTTCACATAAAGCACCTATCATCCAAAAATATAATTCATGCGGATAGTTTATCAAGACTCGTACCGAGTCAAGAAGAAAGATTCGAAGTATCAATTATTGCAAATATCAGAGCAGATTATGAGGTGAAAAGCATGGTAAACAACATTGTAAGAGAGCTACCGGTTACACTAAAGGAAATTAAAAAAGAAGCTGAAAGCTATGATTTCATTTTAGAAATAAAAATCAAAATGGTAGCAAATGACCAAAAGGTGCAGGAGATTTATTCAATAGGTGAAGGAGTTTTATCATATGGTGAGAGAGTAGTAGTACCAAAAAAGTTGCAGAAAAGAATACTACGGGACTTTCATATGGGTCACCCGGGGGTTAATAGAACAAAAAGCTTAATGCGAAGCTTTGTATATTGGAAAGGAATGGATGTGGATATCGCAAACATGGTTCATCGATGTAAGGGGTGTGCGTTAGCAGCTAAGGCACCACCTATAGTACACAAACCATGGCCCAAGACGGATCATCCGTGGACAAGATTACACATTGATTTCGCTGGTCCAGTAGAAGATTATTACTACTTAATAGTGGTAGATAGTTTTACAAAATGGCCGGATGTACTACGCTGCAAAAAGCCTACTTCTAATACCACAACAACTTTCTTGCATGAACTATTTGCACGGTTCGGTGTGCGAGAGTGTATTGTGAGTGACAATGGTACACAATTGACTTCTGAAGAATTTAAGGAATTTTGTGAGTTATATCAAATTAACCACATAACGACGACGCCGTATCATCCGAGGTCCAATGGACTCGCAGAAAGATTTGTCGATACTTTAAAGCGCGCTCTGAAGAAAGCCTCAGGAGTTCCAACGGAAAAGGCGCTTCAGCAATTCCTACAAGTATAGAGAATCACGCCAAACCAGAGAACACACTCAAACATGGCACCAGCTGAACTAATGTTCGCTAGGAAAGTTAAGTCAGTGTTTGACAAACTTTTGCCAGGAAAAAAATAGAGTAAAGAATACTATGTATACAGCGAGAAAAAGATACACCTCCGGAGAGAAGGTGTTTTTCAAGTGCTACAAAAACAACGTTGAGTTCTGGGAGCGAGGCATAGTGGACAAAAGAATTGGTGACCTGATTTACATAATTAAAGGGCCGAAGAATACTCATAAAAGGCACCAGAATCAACTTGAAAAATGTTACGTTATAGAGCATGAAGAGAGTATACCGGATGAGGAGGAAGATCCCATTGAGGTAATGTATGATATGTTTCAAGTAGAACCTCCACAGAATACTCCTGAACTGAGAAGATCCGGTAGGAAACGAAAGTTCACGGAGCCATTGGACGAATCCAAAACGGAAAAATATTAAAATTAAGCGGATGGACATATGCATATGAAGTATGCAAATGGATCTGAAAGAAATAGCCATAATCATCAACCCATATAGGAAGCCAGTTTGAAATCCAAAAGGGATTCCAAGGCTTGGGAGGGGATGTTATGGTAGGATCCACCTAATTTTATAGTGGCGTACCGACCATATAAATATGGTTGGTACGGGAAGAGAGGGGAGGAATCAAGAGATTCAACCAGAGACTCTGCCCGACTGCGTCTCAGTCAACACATTCTCCAGGAACGGTCTTACCAGGAATATACAAAAGACTATATGTAAATATTGTGTACATTTTCTTGTTTCAATACATTTTGTTCTAAGTACATTTTGTGTTGCATTATTATTCAATGCATTAGTCAAGTTTCAACAGATACAATAGTTCAAATCTTAATCTAACAATTGGACAATTTTGCTTTTACCCGATTTGGACAATTTTGCTGTTATACCTGTCCTATATATATATGAGAGATATTGTTAACCTTTACACAAAGTCGAAGTACTATATATATATATATATATATATATGTATGTATGTACTACACACAAAAGACAATTGTTAAACATTAGCATACATAAGAAAAAATAATTCCTTTAAATAATATGTGGAAATAACCATTCCTCGTCTGATGAAGATCACAAGACCCGAAATAGGGGTAACAGAAAATATGGAAAATAAAGTATAATATATAAAAAAAAAATACACATTATAACCAGAAACGTTTGCAGCGTCTCTTCTCTTTAATATATATATATAAATCAAGCAATATATATATATATATATATATATATATATATATATATATATATATATATATATATAGATATATATTCGTCAATCGTCCGTCTTCGAGCGCTGTTATTTTTCGCGGATATATGGGTCAGTGGTGCATTGTGGGTAGTCTATTTTGGCGGCTATTTTACCGGAAGTCGCTTATTTGTTTTTTTGTTTTTTTTTGTTTATTTGGGTTAGATTATTTTCCTTGCTTTTATTTATTTTTACTTTTTACTTTTATTGCTTATCTTATATATTTATTTATTTATTTTATTTTTATTAGTCGGTGTTTTTATTAACGCAGTAAAAAAAATTATATCGCTTATTTAATATTTATGTGCTATGATGAAAAAAAATTGAAATGTCTTTTTTGCAGACGTAATAAAAACGAAAAAATCTTCGCATCAATTTTCGTTTTGGTTTATGAAGTTCTTCGTATAACAAAAATTAACACTGCCGGCTAAAATCTCTTTAGTGGCACGTTTGCCTATCAGTGCGAATTTCTTTGAAACAGGACTCAAAGTCGGGAATTCCTTCAGCATTAGGTCACGTGGGTTTCAGCAGCTCCTTCGCCGCTGTCGTGTTTCGTCTTTTGTCAGCAACTCTAACTCCAACTGCAACTCGACCATTACTCTTATATTGACTTTGATTCAAAATCAAGCTGACGGTGTTTGGGAATTTGGGGTCCCCCCCCTGTTTTCTGCAACGATTACAACAAAGGTCCTTTGTTCTCTGGTTTTTAATATTAATTATCTCTCCAAATTTGGGAGATCCCCTCTTCATATGTGTTATATAGGAACGACACTTGAGTTTGAACATAGATCGCCAGTGAGCAAACACAGGCGATCTCATTATTGAAATAAGTGGATCACGTGACCATGGGAGAATCGCATAATAGGCAGTAGTGTGACGACTAAACGATCGCTATTTCTATTCTATCCTCTATTACTATACGAACCGCTATTCTCTATTCTATTCACTATACTATTTCTCTATTCCGATCACTATAGGGATTACTGTTCGAGCGAGTATTATCACACTATAAGTGTGAGTGATATCCGAAGGCGTCTGACACCAGTATTATTCGGCGGCGTTACTATAATTGTATCTACGATTACAAAGTCTCTACTACAACGAGCATTACGAAAGTGACAACAAGTGTTTGTTGACATCACAAAAGTGTCAAACGAGTGTTCGTTGAGTCACAAAATAAACTAAGACAAAAAATGCAATTACAAAATCTTAAATGCATGCATTTGTTACATATATTGTCTTCGTATGCATTATTTAAGTTAGATCTAATTGGTTCTAGTTGCTTGACTTATTTCTTGAGAAAGGTTCAACATGTTCATAAGTTATTTGAGACACCCTGTATATTTAAAATTGATTTAATTGCTTTTTAAAATTAAGACTACAATAAATATTTGTGATATATAAGAATAAAGTGTCACTGCCGACACTTGAGTTTGAACATAGATCGCCAGTGAGCAAACACAGGTGATCCCATTATTGAATTAAGTAGACGACATGACCATAGAAGAAACGCATATATGGGAGGTAGCGTGTGTCTAATTGATCTTTATTTCTAGTCTATCCTCTATTACTATTTGGATCGCTATTCTCTACTCTATTCACTATACTGTTTCTTATTTCCGATCACTATACGGGTTACTTTGCGGGCGAGTATTATTGAGCAAGTACTATTAGTGCGAGTGTTATTCGAAGGCGTCTGACACCAGTATTGTTCAACGGAGTTAATATAGTTGTATCTGCGATTGCAAAGTCTCTACTACAACGAGCATTATGAAAGTGATAACGGGTATTCGTTGGCATTACAAAAGTGGCAACGAGTGTTCGTTGACATCACAAAAATACGGGTAGTGGCTGCAGGTATTGGCCCGCTCGTATAACTAATTCTTTTACTTATTTATGCCTCGTAGCATTACTTCCAAATGTGCGGAGATAATTTCTTCGTCTCTCTTGGTATCGCAACAAAGCCTGCAACCCCAGATGTTTTTTGGCGACTCTGACTTTCAAACTGCGTGTGCAGAAAGGCGGTCTCAGCTTTTAGTCATTAATTGTACTTACCTTTTTGATTTTTAATGATAGTACCAATGGGCCCAACAGGTTCATTCCGTATTTGAATTCTTTCAACGCAGGATAAAATCGTAAGCTCGGCGAGGCCATTTACGCCTGCTGACAGTCAGGCATAGGCCAGTCTCTTGATTCTGCCTTTATCCTCCCAAACTGACCTTTTCTTTCTTCCTGGTAATAATGAGACATGGTCTCGTCACTTGCACTTTTCGGTAAGCGGACATAATTCTGTGTCATCTGATGCTTTTAACCTGGCCCGTCTGTTCCAAGTCATACTCCAAATTAACCCTTTCTTTTTCCTTTTTACCTTGTGTCACATAGTGTCATAAATTAACAAAGCTCAAATTCAAATTAACAAAAATCAACTTCAAATTATAAACGCTAAATCTGAAATTAAAAAAGCTCAATTTCAACCCAAAGAAATTCAAATTAAAACAGATCATCCTCATATTGTCAAAGCTTAACTTCAAATTAAAAAAAGCTTAATTTTAAATCATAGAAGCTCAACTTCAAATTAGAATACCTTGACTTCAAATTAAAAGAGCTCAGTTTCAAATTATAAAGGCTTAACTTCAAATTACAAACGCTCATTTACAAATTAACAATGTTCAACTTAAAATTACAAAAGCTCAACTTCACATTATGAGAGCTCAACTTCAAATAATAAAAGCTCAACTTCAAATTAAAAGAGCCAAATTTCAAATTATAAAGGCTGAATTTAAAATTAAAATACCCAATTTGAAATTAAAAAAACTCAAATTCAAATTAAAGGAGCTCATCCTCAAATTAAAAATCTCAATTTCAAAATAAAAACGCTAAACTCTAAACTGAAAAAGCTCATCTTCAAATTATAAAAACTCAAAAATTAACAAAGCTCAAATTCAAATTAACAAACCTCAACTTCAAATTATAAACGCTAAATCTGAAATTAAAAAAACTCAATTTCAAATCAAAACGCTAAACTTTAAACTGAAAAAGCTCATCTTCAAATTATAAAAACTCAACTAAAAAATGCTCAATTTCAAACTGACAAAAGCTCAGCGGCGGATCTACAATAAAACTAATCAAGCTCAAGCTTCACGACCCCTAATCCCATAAAGAGCCCTTGAAGCAACCTTTTTAATGAGTGCATTTTTCAACAAAACCGATGTCTTTTTAGTGTTTACTGGCAGCATGGCCCGGCGTTGCCCGGGCTTGATTCAAAAATCGTACGACTCATACAACAATCGCTATCACTTGATTTAAAATATTTTTGCCCTTCCTTGCCTTTAAAGAAGTGCCCTTTGCAGTGCTGATGTTTCTCCATGCCTTACTTATCGTCTATCTTACACTGTGAATTTTTTCTAAGCTCTATACTAAACATTAAATCTGTTACGAAAAAAGAACTAAACAAAATGAACACAAAACGATCAGCTTTAAAAATGGACTCGTAACTGGAAAAACCGAATGAAAAAAGAATGTTAACAACAAATACTTTTTCACACCCAACCCAGTTCTGCGGAATCAGAATCAACGTTGAGTTTAAGCAAGCGAATGAGCCAATTGGAGTAAAGTGCCATGCAGATTTAAATTTTTCCCACTTGTGACAAATGCAACTATCGATTTTTTTGCATGCTAGCATGCTAGCATGCTAGTTAACATTCGTGTCAGTCAGCTGTTGGCTCTCACGCTGTCCAATAGAATCTTTCTGCCTATTCGTGGCAGCCAGCTATAGGCTCTCACTCTGGTCAGTAGAAAATGGCCGCAAACTACATGAAAAGTGCCATAGAAGCATGAAAAAATCGATTATTTCCACTATCGATGGGAGTTGGGAAATGCAAAGTCGGTCTTTGCCTTCCCGCTAACTTCGAGCATCTGCATGTAAATTTTGGTGCAAATCCGTCGAAATTGCGGCCGTGCATTCGTTACACACACACACACACACACACACATCCTGTCCTTTATAGATAAAGGTTATTTAAATAAGGTCATTTTAGTGTTATAATCCTAAACTAGTGGATTGAAGGACCTAATGTCAGGCTTAGAATCTGTTCTAATACCCATTTCATATGGCCTCAAATATTCCCCTGTAATTAGTCAAATTTCTAAATCCTCTTAGAGATTGAAAGTGTCCGGGCCACCAGTTTGTTGAGCTCGCCAGAATCTATCCATAACCTACATTTCGCCAATTAAATCCTAGAACCTATTGTTGCTGGTTGCATAGCAGCAATGGCCACTGGAAAGGATATCGAGGAAAAACATCAGCTTCCATACAAAGTTTAAGCTCTACAAATCGCTGGTCGTATCCATTTTCTTCTTGGACACTCTTGGTTGAGTCAGAAAAAGGTATCCATGCGTTCTAGAACAAATGCTTGAGAATGATCCTGGGATCACAAAACCAATGACTATGTACGGAGCAGGGTCAAAAGCCACGTGGGCCAACAGGAATCTCTCCTTGCCACTATTAAGCGTCGGTAGAGGGCATATTTTGGGCACATCTCACGGCATAACAGCCTCTGCAAAGACCACCATGTAAGGCGCCGTTGAAGGTGGATTCAAGCGAGGACGGCAACACAAAAGTTGTTCAGGCAAAATCAGACAATGGACAGACATGTCAATGCCAGAACTCCTGAAATCAATCGCCAAGGAGGAAGTTGTCTATTTCTTCTGCCTTTACGTCACCTCCTCCCCCGCTCGAAGATTAATACAGTCAAGGGACTGATTGATAATGATATACTGTTACAATTTCTTAATTAAAAGATTAACTAACTCGAATTGTATATTTGAGCTGATATTGTTGTAATGTTATCGATCCATTAATATCGATCTTATTAATATGGATCCTACTAATATTGACATTATTTAAATTTGAATTAATGTCTTAGTCTTTGTTGCTACTATCACGACGTTTCGGTCGGTGTGCTCTTCCACCTTCTACAGCAATGGTTCCTAACAGCAATGGTTTAGTCACGAATCCCTTTTTTTGAGTTACGGATACCTTTAATCACGGGTTCCTTTAAACGGGTCCTTTTAGTCTTTAGTCGGGTCCCTTTAGTCACAGATACCTTTAATCACGGGTTCCTTTAATCACGGGTCCTTTAGTCACGGATACCTTTAGTCGCGGGTCCCTTTAGTCACAGATACCTTTAATCACGGGTTCCTTTAATCACGGGTCCTTTAGTCACGGATACCTTTAGTCGCGGGTCCCTTTAGTCACAGATACCTTTAGTCACAGGTCACTTTAATCACGGGTCCCTTTAGTCACGGGTCCCTTTAGTCACGGATACCTTTAGTCACAGGTCCCTTTAGTCACGGGTCCCTTTAGTCGCGGATACCTTTAATCAAGGGTCCCTTTAGTCATAGATGCCTTTTGTCACAGGCACCTATAAGAAGTAGCCCTTCATAGACAGACAAGCAGATACTCAGTCTGATTAGTTTTCACACCATTTGTAAGTGCATTTTTCCATGCTGCACCCTCATGCAGACCACACACACTTCACCTTTCAGCTAACTACATACTTGTAGGAATTACCAAGTATAATAGCCTCATTTTTAAAAAGACTAAATATAATGGAAGCGCTAATGATAAAAAAGAAAAAGCCAACAATCCATAACATCAACTGTGAAAACGGCCACAATTTGCTGACCGTATTAGCGATGAGAACAATGGAACAATAGAACAATTAATATGGCACTAAATTCAGAAAACATTCTTTAATCTACTAGGCTATTACCATGTTGGACATCCTGAACGTAGGATTTGGAATCTTGGGAGTTCACTGGGTCATGTATATTTACTCGGCCTCTCCACGAAAGCAGGTTTTGACACAAGGTCGTTTTAACATAGGGAGCACCATACAAATACAATTTTTTTTGCCCAGTCCCAGTGACCGCTGCCATGTTTGCATCGACACTACACCGACCCTACCTACCTTTTTTTACTGCAATGAAGAAAGTGCTGATGCAGGGTTGGAATCTCTGGGACCGGGCGCCTTCACCTTCCTAAACAGTGCAAAAAGATACAATTTAAATTCTGCGTCTCATACGGAATGGATTCAGTGAATGTTATGCGCCTTATACACAGTAAATCGTACGTTGTCGTTCTTAACCTTTTTTTTTTTGTTTTTGAGTCACGAACCCTTTGCCTCCCCGATTCCTATATGAACTAGACTTTTATAGCCAAACAGACAGACGAGCAGATATTCACAGCCTGATTGCATTTTCGCAACACTTGTACGTGCATTTATCCCTACTTCACCTTCATGCAGAATGCACACACTTCATTTATCAGCCAGCCATGTTTGAAAGAAATTGTAGTTAATTAATACTCACCAGTAGATGAGAGGATAATCAAGCCGTGACAAACCGTATAAAATGAGAATTATCACTTGCTCTTATGGAGTGACAAAAGATGGCGGTCGTGCAGGGAATGATGGCACACGTTTAAATGTTAAACATGACCCCAGCAGCAAATCAAGACGCCGTAAGTCGTGGTTGGGTGCGTTTTCTTTCAGGCAGCAGCATGATGCATTTTCTTTTATTTCTGTATAGCGAATATGCATATTAAATTTTATTTGATCCTCACGGCCCTCTGAAACCCATCCATAGACTGACTAGTGATCTATGAACACCGGGTTAAAATGCCCTTTTCTACAGGTAATTGTCAATCCAAGTGACCTTCAGAAAATTTTGCACTGAGACCTATATTTAATTTGACGGGTAGATAGCTCTACGTCTATGTTAAGGGATATCTCGCCTTATTTAGTGCTAAATGATTATTACTCGCTCTGTTTATATTGACTCTATATATGTACTAGCTGGTCTAGGGATTAAAATTACTATGTCAGATAATTCATGAACGAAAGCTTTAATCGACAAAACTCAAGAATAAGAAATGTTGTGATATAACTACAAAAATGAAGACACTGGCTATTCAAATCCGCCCCATAGCCCTGTCGGCGAATTTACACGATGGAGTGGTAGGTGTATGGTCTGTGGAGAGCTGCGATGAGCGGAAGTGGCAAAAGTGTTGCTCTAATCTCCGCCGACCGTACCAACTGTTCCATCGCCATCGGAACCAAAAACTTCGAAGACACCAGAAGAGAAAAGGAAGAAGTCAAGTGACAAGAGAGAAAGGCTCGACAAAATCGACCTCGTCTTCCACCGACATTACCATGAAGACAATGCCATCGGCGCTTCCATACAAGAATTGGTCTACTTAGTCATCAATGCCGTCATCCTAAATGAAGAGATCAGAA